GCCATAAAAGAGTTGCTCTTATAAAAATTATGAACAAGTGATATGATGGGGAGTTCACTTTGCTTTCTGTAATTGATTATTTATTTCTGTAAAAAATATTGAAAGAAGTTGTAAACAAAAATAATAAGATGACTCAATGAGTCTCATTAATGAGGTTGATGTTGTATACGTAGCATTGACTGATTATTTTTATTATTATGAAACAATTCTGGTATACGGCCGTCAATCAATCAATCAACCAATCAACTAATTACATGCGACTACCAATATCAATATTAGAATTATGAGACTAATAATCACCTAGCAGTAAAAGTGTAGAAAATAATACCGTATAATTGCTATTTCGAAAACTGACGAGGAACCTTCGGCCCTAATTTGTAGCATTGCGAAAACCACTCATAGTACCAGTGACGCAATACCTGCCCATAGAATCGTCTCGCGTATGAGTGGGTAAGCGTATTAATTCGATAATCATGTCTACACTTAAATGTTCAAAAAGTCGAAAATATGTACATCCAAAAGATTTTGTTACCATGGCAATACCATTCTGATTATTGTTATTATAGTCTTGTAGTTCCAGGCGTAGAATACTCAGGACTTGAGGCTAATTAGCTATCAGGCTTCGTCAAGTGAGTCTGCTTAATAAGGACTGGTCGACCAAACAAACGACAGAAGAACGCAAAGTCGCTGACACGAGAGAACGGGTAACTGTATACGTTGTTGTATCATTGATAACAATTGACACGGGAACATCGAGGCATCCATACCAAAATATCGTCTCTCCGTTTTGTAATTCTCTTTTACTAAGCATGTCGCAGATACTCGCTGTTACTCTGTTGTCATTACTAGTTTTCGTATCCTGCATCTCTGGTAGGAGTCTCAATGGTTACGAAAAAGAACAAGTGTTTGACATTTTACAGGTAGGTAAATTTACTTTTTGTTTTGATTTTTTTTTTTTTTTTTTTTTTGATTAACATCAAATAAACACAACAAATTTCAGATTCTAGAGAGGAAAACACTAATAGTCTTTTTGTTTTTAATTTTTTTGCGATAATTGCCTTTACAAAAATTAGTTATAATTGAAGTATGCACTGCGTACTATTATAACACTGATATTTTGGGAAGCACAACTTATGACCTTCATGATAATAGTAATTATTTCAATGAAAAATATGATAACTTTTTGCGGTATTTGTAATGATTAATTTCAATGAATGAATAGAAATCGGTTAAATTGTACCTTTTCTTACAATGCAAAAATATGTAACTTGATTATAGATTTCATATTATTAGTACCGGTCTCACCCAAGTACTGAAAACATCTAAAGCAAATCGTGCAGCCCGCACATATTCATAGTATATCATGCTTAATGTTGTAGATAAAGAAGTTAGATAAGTAGCGCCGGATGACGTTTCACTGCTTTAAGGTAAAATGTTCTAAACTTAACAAGAGGAAGGCGTACACAGAAGACATAATATTCTACCTAGATTCATTGAAGATCACTTTATTTGCCGTGTATCATACGTATTAGATGTATTTTTACTTTCAGTGTAACATAAATATTAATAGGCCTACTTGGAAAAAAAACTATGTCAGATGAAACGAAAAAAGTTACTGTATATGAGATTAAAGTCGTATACTACTGCTTCAAAATTACAAAATGTTAGTAGAAATAAATAGCACGTTTATAGTTAAAGATATTTAATATGATATGTTTGTGTGAGCAAGATATTGAGATATAAAATGTCAGATATATTTTGAGATTATAAGACTGATAAAACGTGTTTCAGTAATAAAAAAAAAAACATATTGATGGAATACGATAACGCGATGTATTCATGAAGACGGAGTTCATTGGAGTCGGATATCTATTGGAACAATCTACCAATCATGATTAAATTTTCTTCAAACTCAAAGTAATATTTTCATGTAGGCCTACATTGAAACAATACCTGATATCGATATACCTTTATATATACCATTATATTTCTATACACCTCCAAAAGGTATTTTAATTGAATTCATCGTCTACTTTGCGTTATGGGCATGATTAAAATCTGTTATTTATTCTACTTTTTTTAATCAGCTGTTGTCACTAGGGTCAAGTATTTGAAAAAACAGCAAACTTTTTGAAGTAGTAGTTACTTACAAGTTAACACACACACACAAAATGTCCCTGCTCTACATCATACATCACTCCATCAGTACATTTAGTTTTAATTAACTGTAGTTCAATTCCGTTTGAATTTGATTGGCCCAACATTACAAATCTGGTATATCAGAATTGTCTTGTATGAAACAACATTAACTTATTAAGTATTTTAGAGGTAC